CGCCCCTCTCCACTGCATTGAGGGACGCGAATCAAAGGCGCAGTTCGAAGTTCGAGGTTCGAGTGGCCCCACTTTCATTAGCCCCCTTTGCTGTTTTCCTCTCTCCTCCTCTCGGCCTCTCGGGACCACACTGGAGGCCGTGGGGCCGGGGCCGGGCGCGCCGTCGTACTAGTTTATTATTACGATTATGTCCCGACTATTGCTCGTGTTATTCTAGTTGATGAGCCGGACGGGGGCGGATGGCGAGGCGGATGGCGGCGATGGCGTCGTCGAGGGCGGTGTGCCCGGGTGGGCCTCACTACGTGTCGACGTGTCGCGATGGGGAACTCGAGGGGGGCTCAGAGGGAGGATATGGCTGGCGGAAATTTCTCGCGACGGAACAAATACTGCAAGTGCCTTTCCCCGGCCGGCAGACGGGCAGACAGACGGACAGACCGACGGGCAGCGCCTCCAGGCACGGGAATATACAGCGAGGCGGCGGTGTGGTGTGGCACTGCCAGGGCACAGCGCTCTCTCGAGGAAACCGAAGCCCTCTCGTCTCATTCAGGGTGACAGTAGTCTCGCTGTTGCCCGTGTCTTTGCGGCGCGGACTGCACGGCGACCTCGGTGATAACCTCGCGGCTCGCCTCGCCCCGCCGGGCCCGGGTCCCATTTGGAGGATACCCCAAACCGGATCCCGGCGCGCAGGTCTTCTTTCTTTTGCAAACCTCCTTTATTGTTCTCGGGACGGCCCACTCTGCAGCCGCTGCACTTGAACTCTGCTCGCCCCTGGCCGGCGGGCCGACGGGACGGCGGGGCTGGGGTCAGGAAGCTTGAACAGGCAGAGGTGCGTGCCGGCGGTCGCGAGGCCACCCTAACGAGAACGAGACCCCCAGCCCGGCCCGGCCCGGCCCAGCCCCCAGGTCCGCTTGACACATAAACCACTTTGGCCAAATTGAGTTGGACGCACGCGGGGGCGGGACGCGGTGGGGTGCACCAAACCTTTTGGCCGCAGGTATCAGTTGGCTGAGCAGCAGCACGGCTGCTGCGGTCGCCCTTCGAAGACCACCCCCCCCCCTCTTCTTCTCCCTCCGCGCACGCTCATCCCCGGTGCGGCCCCCGCGAGCGGAGTTCCGTAAAGACGAATTGGCCGGATCAACGCCGGAATCGAGGTGCACCAGTTCCAGCTGGCTGGTTCCGAACGTCGCTCTGTCTCTCTCGCACTCGCGGGGCGTCCCGTAAGGGCTCCGAGACAGACAGAGCGACGAGACGACCCGCGCGGCTGGGCCGCCGAATGACTGCAGCACCGCGCGCGTCCTTAGTCCTCCGTCCTCCGCTATCCGGCCGGAGAAAGCAGTGGCGCGGCACCGCGCCGCCTTCCGGAAACGCCACCAAAAAGCAGCCGGTGACACAACCTCCCCGATCTCGGTGGCGCCGCACCTCTCACGGTGTAGGCGTCCGCAGGGACACGGCGGGAGCTAAACGCAGGCCTGCTGTGAGAGTGTGTGTGGGAGAGGGAGAGGGCCTGTGTGCGAGTGGCACCACAATGAAGCACCCCAGGTGCCGAGAAGGACGTGAAGCTGCCAAAGAGATGGATGGGCCGCGGAGCGATGCGAAGCCCTCCATCACACTGTGCATCGCGTTCGACAGGCCCGACTCGGCGACCTCCTCGCCCCGCCCCGCCCTGGCCCCGCCCTGGCGCCGGTCTCGGTCATTCTAGTTTACGCTAACGCGCGTGACCTTTGGCGACGGCGCCATGCCGCCGCCGTGCCAGCCACACCTGCTGCTCGCTGTGGTGCGGGGGCTGCGGCTCCGGCTCCGGGATCGCGGCTCCGGCTCCGGGATCGCGGCTCCGGGATCGTGCAGCTTGTGCAGCAGGACTTCCCCGGAATGCGTCCAATCAGCGGCCAGCGTCGGCGGCAGTCCCGGAGTCCGAGTCAGTCGCCTGGGCAGTCTGTTGTACGCTGTTACGCAATGCGCGTGCGGCCGGCGAGCCGTGGCGGGGCGGGGCGGGGTGGGGCGGCGCAGCCAGACGAGCGATTATTAGATCCGGGTCGACGAGATGCCGCGCTTGCCGGACTTGAGGGCGGCCTGCTTCGCCTGCTCCACGCGCTCGGCGTCCCTGGAGCGGAGCGGCAACGAGCCTACCCCGCCGTGTATTTACGATCGCATAGGAAAGCCCACTTACTTTTTGTTGTGCCTGTACGACGGGCTGCCAGGCTGCCAGGCTGCCGGGCACTATAGGCCCCAGGCGATGGCCCAGTTCGCTTTCCGCGGGAGGCTCAACAGCTTAACGCGACTTTGACGTAGAAAGGAGGTGTAGTACGGGGTTGGCCGCAAGCGCGCACACAAGACGAGGTTCCCTGACGCGCGCGCGGGCCGCGGCGTGTGCGTGTCTGCGTGTTGGCCCGGCGAGGCAGTCCGGGTGACTGAGTCAGGGAGTGAGTCACTTTTCATTATGACACGGCTGACATAACACTTGCAGGTGAAGGAGGGCGCGATGTCGTCGTTCGACCCGGGATGTGGTGCTCACCAAGGCGAGTAACGCAGCAAACGCGTCGAACGAGGCAGAAAATTGATTGATAAGAGCAACCGGCTTCCCACTCCCTTCTCCTCCGCCTCCGAACGTCTCCGCAAGAGGCACCGCCGGCCGCCGCCGCTGGGCCAGTTTGTTTCCGTCGGGCACTAATGCTCGTGATGAGTCAAAGGAACGGAGTAAGTAGAACAGAGAGGCAGGGAGTCTCGAAGAGGCGGATCAAAAAGCTCCCCGCGCCGCGCCACCGTACCGCACCGCTGCCAAAATGACATCAAGAGCCCCATTAGAAACTAGAGGAGGAACAACAACCGCCGCCGCCGCGCCGGCGTCCGGTCGACGCCGTCGTGTTCTATTTCTTTTCAATTGTTTTCCGTTTTTCTTGGCTTCTAATTGACTCTTGCGCGGCCCCGCCGTCGACGGCTGCCAGCGGCCTGCCGAGCGATCCAGAAGAGTCGTGTCGTCGCTCTGTCTCTGTCGCACTCATGGGGCTCTCCGTAACGGTGCGAGAGAGACAGAGCGACGAACCGATCTTCAGAATCGCGCGGCTTCGGAAGACAGGAGTCACGAGGGTGGCAAGGCGAGGACGAGGGCGGCGGGGCGGCGAGGCGTGGACCAGGGCGGCGAGGGCGGCGAAAAATAAATATCTCGGGGATTAGAACGGCCCGGGACCTTCGCCCGGACTGCTGACTCACTGGCGGGGCCCGGCAGACTGATTCTGAGCGCGGTGATCTCTCTCTCTCTCTCACACTTATGGAACATGGAGCGCCCCGTGTGGGTGCGACAGAGACAGGCGCGGCGCCCCGCTCGGCATGGGCCTGCTGGCGGGGCCGGCGGGGGCGGCGGGGGCGGTGGCCGGAGGCGGGCCGCGTCGGGCCTGCCATGACTCCCTGATGACGGCCGAACGGAGGCAGGCCCCGGCGGCAGGCCCAGGCGGCAGGCCCAGGCGGCAGGCCCAGCCAGGCCGGAGCCAGGACGCCATGGCGCGCCACCGACACCCTCCAGTGTCATCGCCAGCTTGCCATGTTAATTTAACGCGCGGCCCGACCGTGCCCGAGTGTTGCTGTTGTTGTTGGTGATGTTGTTGTTGCCATGCAGGTGCGGCGCCTGGGGCGGGGCGGGGCGAAGCAGGGCGAAGGCGCCACCCTGATGATTTGGTCGTGACATGCAATTAGTGCTTTGAGCGAACGCGTGTTTGCGGAATCCAAACACGGTGCCAGGGCGCCAGCAGTGATGTGTATGAGCGTGGAAATGCGCGCCACTGTTTGCGAGACGCAAGACGCCGAGGTGGCGGGCGGTTCTCTTTCGGCCCTAAGGCGCTTAAACCGAAACACCGCGGCGGCGCGGGGCTGCCCTACGCCCTACGCCCTACGCCGCACTGCCTTAAGGGCGGCGCCATCGGCCCTGCGACGCACCCTGTCAGCATTACTGCCTTGGCATGGGGGAAGTGCCCAACTCACGACAGGGCAACCACTCGCCAAATCCTCTGTCCACTTGAGCGCCCGAAATCCCCGGCGAACCGAAATCACGCCAAAAGGGAAAAACAAGGGCCAGATTTTGGCTGGAGCTGACGGAATCCGACGAAATCCTCCTCTCCCTCCTTCAAAACCGTGTGGAGTACCCAAACATAAAAAGCGGTTATGCCCCTCGCGAACTCGTCACCGACACGCCGTCGGGGGTGGAGTGTTATCAATTCCGGGGCAGGAAAGAGCCAAGTTGCCAAGTTTGAGAACGACGCGGCAGCTCAGGAAAGTCATCCTGAATCGAAAACTTGAACCCCGCGTCCTCCGCAGCTCTTTTCCTTTTTGCCGTTGCCATGCCACGCTCCGCTGGCTCTGCTGGCTCCGCTGCGACGTGTCCCCGGCGACGCGACGAACTTCCGACGACGGCGACGTGCAGCCCGCTCACTGCAGCGTCACGCCGGCCACGTCGCGCGGGGGGTTGTTGACCAGGCCGGGGATCTAGGGGGAGCGGCACGGCGAGGCACGGCGAGGAAACACGGACCACGCCATTGTCTGGGCCCTGGGCCTGGCCGGCCTGGGGGACTCCGTGACTAAACTGCTGTCTGGACCACCCGGACCTCCCGGCTGCTCTACCCCCGTGGTGCAGCCTTCATTATAATGGCAAAACAATGACATCCTGCGCCGAGCCGGCCGCACCACGATGACTAAAACAATAACTAGGCTGTCTTGTCGGCCGCCCTGCCTGGCCCTGCCGCCCACGCGTTCATTAGCCGCATCAAATAAATGGTAACGCGTCAGGAGCACGGGGCCGCCGGCAGGGCCCTGCCTTGGTCTTAAACGCCCCCGCGCTTGTTTGCCCTCGTTGTTGTTGTTGTTGTTGTTGTTGGTCGTTTTACTTTTGTTGTTGCTGTCCCCATCCTTTAGCGTCCCCTTTCGCGGGCTGCGGGGCGCCATTCTCTCGAATATGAGACTCGTGGAGCCGGAGGCCGGAGGTCGCGAGGGAGGTATTTTCTCGACTGCGTGGATAAAAAAGGACGTCGTATTCTTTATTGTTAACGATAATTTTACATGGCTGACTAGAGCAATAGTTGTACACTCGAATCACACGACACAGCAGTCCGTCATCGTCTCGACCTTCTAGCTTGACTTTCAACAGCTACGGCCTAACAGCATTGGCGGGCTCGCGCAGCCCTGCTGGCTAAACACGTGCTGCGTATACCTAGAGCTAATATAATTCCTTTATTTTTAATAAAGACGATAATATACTATGTACACAATAGGTAATTGATTAAGTTTTTAATATCTAATTCCTAAGTAAAGTGCAGCCGGTGGTAGCTCAGGCGAAAGGCCTGTGCTGGTACGACTTAACGAGAGAGAATATCACAGAGATTGAAACACACGGCGAACACACAGGCGAAGTGAAGCGCCTCAAGAAAACTAACGCACACACACGCACGCGCACACACGCACACACACATATCTTTGGCAGGAATGACTGCACAGTGAGCACAGCCGTGAGAGTTTATCTAGTTAGGTCAGGTTAGCGAACGTGGAAACTCGAGAATAGACGACTCGGACTAGGTGACAGAAGAAGAAGAATCTCCACGAACATGGCTGACGGTCTCTGATATACAGCCACGTTCGAGAAGAAACTTGTTCCTTTCTTTAGCCTAGTTCAAGTGGTCGACGCACGAAAGCCGCGTTCCCAGTGGCGGAGTGCCCTGAGCCTAGCCGCTGTGCTCGTTGGCCAGCGCCAGGTTGTGGGCCGCGTGGTGCGCGGCGGCGGCCGTGTACAGCTTGGTGGCGGACCGCACCGACGTCTTCCTGGTGATGGAGGACTGCGGCGCCAGGGGCCGGCCCTTCTCCCTGGACGGGCACAGCAGCAGCTCGCGCATGCCCTTGCGGAAGTTGCGGGACAGGAAGGCGTAGAGCAGCGGGTTGATGCCCGAGTTGAAGTACGTGAGCAGGAAGGTGGCGGGCGTGAAGAGGCTGCTGAAGGAGGAGTCGCCCTCGTAGCTGGCCGACCAGTACTGCCACATCTTGCGCGCGTGGTACGGCAGGTTGCAGATGGCGAAGGTGAGCACGACGACGATGAGCATGCGCACCACGCCGCGCCGCGCCTTGAGGATGTTCTGGCTGGCGGACACGTGGTAGGAGCGGCCGGGCGCGGACGCGCTGCTGCCGCGGGACCGGCGCGACTTGCGCGCCTGCCCGTTGCTGGGCTCCCAGTGCGGGGACCCGTCCGCCGCCGCCACCGCGGCCGCGTTGTTGGTCTCCTCGGCGGCGATGGACACCCTGGCGTCCCCCGCGCCCGGCACCGCGGCGCCGTTGGAGGTCTCGCGCGCCGCGTCGAACGTGACCCGCAGCGAGGGCGCCACGCCGCGCCACGTCACGCGCTCCTGCAACCAATCGGCCGTTTTCTACGTGGACAGAAGAGAAGGTCTGGCATAGGGCGGGCACAGAGCGACGGTGAGCTACATGGCGGGTAGGCCGCGGGGCGCGGCGGTGTACTGACCTCCTTGCGGCTGCGCTGGTGGCTGGGGTGGTGGTGGATGCCGGGCGGCCCGCGGCCCGCGTCCCACAGCACCAGCGCGATGCGCGTGTACAGCAGCAGCATCACGGCCAGCGGCGCCGCGTACAGCAGCCCGAAGTTGATGATGTCGAACGTCTCCGAGTTGTACTTCTGGCGGTGCGAGATGCAGATGGTCTCGGTGCTGCCCGAGCGGCCCAGGCGCATCGAGATGGTCTGCACCCAGAAGAAGCGCGGCGACGAGTACAGCGCCGACAGCACCCACACGCACAGCATCACGATCTGCGGGAGCAAACGGGACCAATAATCGACAATGACAGGCTCGGGCGGCGAAACATCCACAGATTACAAGGCTTCCCTGTGAGTCCCCGCTCACGTGGGCCGCCCCCGCCAGCCCACCCCCCAACCCACCCACCCCACCCACCCCACCCCACCCCACCCCACCCCACCGCAGCGCAGCACCCTTCCAAGGGCAATCCGCCCCCCTCCCCCAGTGACGCACTCCTCTCTTCCCGTGATCAATGTTTTCCGTTTTAGACGGTTCATCCGATGTTGCAGTTCTCCATGCCCCATTGTATCGCCCTTCGCACGTGCGCCCCTCCCCGTCAAGTCTCATTCGGCCCGGTGGAGCGGAAGGGGGGAGGGCGGCACAGGCAGGCATCCTGCAGAGGCGACGACGGGCCCGGCGGAGCCCTCCGCCTGCCCTGCCTGCCCTGCGAGGTCCCGGGGGCCGACAAACGCCAGCGCATGAATGACGGGCGCGCGGAGCGGGGAGCGAGGAGCGGGCGGAGGACGGAGGATCGGCGCGGTCCTCGTGTGGCGTGCGCGCCGTGCCGCAGGTGCCCGGAGCGCCGTATGCATGCCAAGCACGCCTTCCTCGAGGCCGGGCCGCACTACCCCCCGGGCCCGACAAAATCTGGGGCGGCGGTGCGCGGCGGTCTAGTCTAGTCTCTGGCCTGGCGGGTCCTGGCGGGTGCTGGCGGCGCCTGGCGGGATGCACGACGCACGGCCTTGAATCTCTCGTATGCAAAGACGCGGAATGTAGCGCGCAAGGTCGCCGCCGAAAGGAGGTTGGAAATCGCACTCGGCGATTCAATTAAAGCATTCCTGCTCCACTTGCGGCGCCGGCCGCCTGTGCTTGCCCGTCTGTCTGTCCGTCTGTCTGTCTGTCCGTCCGTCTGGCATACTAGCCGCCCGGCCCGCCCATAGGCACCCCCCGTCCGTTGCCGGCGCCCCGGACTCTAGACTGCGGACTCCGGAATGACCCCCGCGAACAGCGAGCCGGAAACGCACCCGCTTCCCGGCTTCCCGGGCAGCATCTGGACCAGCCTCGCCACCTGCAGCCTGCAGGGCGGCGACCAATGGGGCGTGGGGTCGGCCAGCCAGTCGGCCAGTCAGCAAACTGTTTCCGAGAGTCATTTCGTCGCTGTGTCTCTCTCGCACTCATGGGGCGTCCCGTAAAGGTGCGAGGGAGACGGAGCGACGAAAACGATTCTCGGCATCAGTCAGTGTGCGCGGTGTGCGGGGCCGCGTCGTTCCGGCGGAGAGGAGCATGGCCGATGGCCGCGGGAGATGCGTCGCAGCGAAATGGCGAAGGCAAAAGCCAAAAGGGGGGGGGGGCACTGCAGCGGCTGGGTCGGGATGTCCGAGGGCTGTTGGCAAACAGGCGCAAACTTTCCGGAGCCCTCGGGGGTGGCCTGGCCCAAGGCCCGGCCCCGCAACACCCTCCTCTGTCTCTCTCTCTGGGGTCTCCATAAATGCCGTCCTCAAAAGACGATCGGATGGATTTCCGGCCGTCCCCACTCCCTCGCCAGCCACTCCACTCGGAAAAAAGAGCCACTTGGCGAAGCCAGCTGCTACCCGCGGGTGAGAGCTCGGCACTCCGGAGCTTTGCATGGCCAGGGCGCCAGGGCGGTGGCGCAGGGCCCAGCAGTCGATTTATAAGGGACTCCCCCGCCGCGCCGCGCCCCACTCCCACTCCGTCGCGCCTTGGCAACGGCAGCCGCGGCTGTCCCGGCGCGGCCAAGCCGGAAGGGCTGCCTAGCTCGCGGGCGTGCCGCGTCGCTAGCCGCTGCCGTGCAGTCCGGCGTGTTGGACCTATGTGGCGGCACATCACGTGGTGCTGGCCTGCCTGTCACGGCACGGTGTCCCTCGGGAACTTCACCACCAGCAGCAGCACCACCACCAGAGGCAGCACCGCCACCGCAGGCAACCCGCTCAGGGCCGAGGCGGGTGGGGCCGGGCGGCGCCCCGCGCCTTGAAGACGGCCATTCCGTTGGGGTGAGCAGGTGGAGCAGTGGGCGGATTCCGAGCAGTGTGCTTTCGTCGCGCCGTCTCTCTCGCACTCACGGAGCGTCCCTGGCGTCCCGCGGAGGTGCGAGAGAGACAGTGCTCCAGGCGGAGCAGACGCACTTCAATCTGGCGATGCCGTGCCGCCGCCTGATTAAGAGGATCATCATCCTCGAGCACCAGCCTACAGCCTGCTCCAGGCGGAGCAGCCCGCCCACAGGCGCCAGCCGCCAGCCGCCCCGCCCGTAGCAGCCCGCCCAGCCCGCCAGCCCCCCAGCCCAGCCCCAGCCCGGCCAGCCCCCCACGCCCGCCCCAGCCCGCCCCAGCCCGCCCCAGCCCGCCCCAGCCCGCCCCAGCCCGCCCCAGCGCGGCCCAGCGCGGCCGTGCCCCTGCCAGGTAGGCCGCCCTTTCGGCGCGGCCGTGTTGCGAAAAGCCTGCCGCCCGGCGCCACAAGACCGCCGCGCCGGCCGGCCGCGCCGCCCACGACCCAGACTCCACCAGCAGGCCCAGCACGGCCTCCAGCAGGACCGAGGCAAAACCGCGCGCTGACAGTGACGACGTGCTTACCCGGAGGCGACGCGGGGTGAGGATCTGCTTGCACGTGATGGGGTGGATGATGGCGAAGTAGCGCTCGGTGCAGATCACCACCAGGATGAAGATGGAGGCCGTGTAGCTGAGGCTGTGCACGAAGTGGTACAGCTTGCACACCAGGTCCCCGAGCACCCAGCTGGAACACAGAACGGTTCGCGCGGCTTTTAGCAAAGTTGCGGACACTAAGCGGACGCTAACAGAAAGCAGCGCGGCGACGGCGACGCCCGGGGACGCCCATAAAGCTTGCGTGGCGCCCCGGGAGAAGGCTTAGGGGGTTTAACTTGAGCGACATGTCCCCCACAGCGTTTATGTTCGAACCCTAGGACTGCGCAGCGCGGCAGTGCTCGGCTCGAAGAGCAGTAAGGGTTCACATCCTGGCGGGTAGGCCTGGCACAGCCGGGCACAGCGGTTTTCACTCAACCCTACGGCCGCGTAAAAATGTTTTGAAGTCCCGGCTCTTCAAGTACCTTCAAGTACCCTGCTTGATGAGCCGCGTTCCATAGCCGATGACAGGCGAGAGCCTAGAGGCGTTGGCACGTAACAACGAGGTTGGTTGTTCGAGTCTCGTTCGAGTCCCACCCTTTTTTTGCTCTTCTCTGCACGCTAACAGGACGAAGCGTGGCCGTGGCCCCTGGATGACGGAGAAGTGGGGCAGACGTGCGCGGGGCGGCAAGGTGTTCGCGGAGCAGAAGAAGTCATGGTCATACACCCTCCGCGTTTAGTCGCCGCGAGCGAGTTGGTGTCCGTGTGTGTGGGTGTGTGCGCGTGTGTGAGTGCGAGTGGCGATGATTTCCCCCGGGGCTGTTTCCGCTCGCGGGTATCAATTCCACTGCGCCGCCTCGGTGCCTCGGCGCCTCGGCCGTGGCGGAGGAGCCCGGATTCAAAACCCCCGCCATCCGTCTCAATCAGCCTGACTGCATCCCTTGGCCCAGCCAGGCCCGGCCGCGCCGGCGGTCGCGCGGCGCGGTCTCTCTCGCGCCCCCGCGGGACGCCCCGGCGCGCCCCGGCCCCACGAGTGCTGTCGAGAGAGACAGAGCGATGGAGGCAACTGTTTGGCATCATCCCGCAGGCCGTGGGCCGCCGCGGGTCGCACCAGACTGCAAATAACAAATAACGAATTTCCGGGCGAACAAACTGGCGGTCGGTGCGGCGTGCGCCGCTGCACTGTTGTCTTCCGCCACCATTAGCCGACCGTGGCGTGGCGCGGCGCGGCGCGGCGCGGTGCCGTCTGGCGGCTGCCGCCGGAACTGGCGGAACAGTGCGCGTCGGCAAAGGGGCACTTGGAAGGGACCCCAAGACGCAGCGCCGCAGCGCGTGCCCACCACCCAGTGTGCCCAGTGGGTCGAGCCCAGTGGGTCGGACCCAGTGGAGCACCCGGCCAAGCCGATAAGCATACAAGCGGACTCTGCATCCGGACTCTCATTACAGTGCCGGGGCCGTGGCCCCCCTCCCCTCCCTTCAGATCGGCAGCCCCTCTCGCTCCACCCCCGCCTCGCCCTTGGCCCGCCTGGGACCTCTTTGTCCGGCTCCCAAACTTCACAGGGCCCTTCCCTTTTCAGTGGCGGGTCGCAGAAATATGGACTCGCCTGCGCGGCTGGCGCGGCTGGCGTTTGGCGGGTCGCGGCGGTGCCAGGGCGCGCCGTGCTGCGCCGCGCCGCGCAAAGGGCGCTTATTGTGGCACTGCTAGGGCAGGGCCACGGCGTAGGGGCCCAGGGCAGCCCAGGGGCCGCGCCCGTCGGGGCGCGCGAAAAATGGTCGCCGATTTCCGGTCCCTTTCTCTTCTTTTCCACATTTATTATTTCCACCGCCGCCGACTGCGGCCCTCACTTCGCTGGCTCGCCCGGCCGGCCTGGGTGCTTGATAAAGCGACGCTCATATGTTTATTCCGGCCGTGATTCTCATTTTACTTTTTAAGTTTTTTATTTTTTTGGGTCGGGAACTTTTACTTATTTCGTGTGTTGTGATGGTGAGTGTGTTTGGGTGCGTGTGGCATGTGTGCGCCCGCCCACGCTTGTGTGTGTGTGTGAGTGTGTGTGTGTGTGTGTCTTCGTGTGCATGTGTGTGTATTCGGGCCGGTGTTCGGTGCGCACGACTAGAGCAGCGTAATTTATTATTACTGCCAGTTCTTCCCCGAGCAAATGGAGCATGCCCTGTGCCCGACACACACACACGCCCACACATACTCAGACACACTCAGACAGAGCCACCACAGAGGTCGCTGTAAAGCAGTGGAAAAATGCAGGCGTCCACATCCCACTACTAATTTAACAGGTACCCACCACTCGCGAGCCCCACGGTGGGCCCCCACCCCCCTGCCCCGGCCACGCGGCCCCGGCCACTCGGGCACGGTGGCGTGCGCGGCGTCCCTGCCGCGTTAGACCTGCAAACACAGCGCGAGGGTCGGTCCTGGAATAGCCCCCTTGTTCTCCCGTCCCCGGGCCCGGCTCGCTAAAATGCCGAAGCAAGGACACCCCACGAGGCACGAGAAAGTAGAAATAGTCATCCGCATAACTAATCAAAGCCCCCGGGGGCGCGAAGGGGGCGCGAAGCCGACGACTGTGAAGGGCCCGAAGGGTGTAGGCGGGGCCGTGGGGCCGCGGGGGGAGGAGGCCTTGGTTGAAAGCCGTCGTGTTTCGCGAGCTCTCTCCCCGTCTGGCTTCACGGCCTCACTCGCGATTGAGAGATTCCTAGGCAGAATCCGCAGTCCTCCCCACCCCGGCCGCCCCCGGCCGCCCCCGGCCGCCCCAGTGTTGCCAACTTGGCCAACAACTTGTGTATGGCGGCGACCGCGCGTGGCGTCCCCGTACATCGGGCTTGATAAATGAATCCCGGATTACGCGCCATGCCCGGCCGGGCGGCCACGCCGCCGAGCCGTCCCTTGGCGGCGAGCCGCGCCCACGCCGCTCAGTGGACCAGAAGGCCGGTGGAGGCGGCCAAAATCCAAGGACGCGTTTTGAGTTCTAGAGTCGCTAAATGGGACTCGAACGGAAACGTGTGACCCCACTAACGGAATGCTCTCCGAACGAGGAATTCATTGGTGGGATCACACGCTCGTTTCGAGCCCTGCTTAGCGACTCTGTAGCTCAACACGCGTCTACAGTTTTGGCCGCCATCGCCGGTCTTCTGGTCCACTGTGCGCCGCGCCCACGCCGCGACCACGCTGACCGCCGCGTCGCAAGCGGTCCGACAGCGCCTCTCTTCCACCCTTCGAACACAAAGCCGCCGCAGAACAAAAATACAGAAATACAAAAATGCGCGCGGGATGGCGAATGCCGCGATGCCTCGGCGCCGCCGAAGCGGTCCGGTGCATTGTTCCGGGAGGGCGGCGTCGCTCGCTGCCGCCTTGTTCTCATTTCCGCCCGGCTTGCTCCCACGGGCGCCCACACGCCGCCAATAAAACGTGCCAAACGAGACGCGTCCTCGCCGAGAGTTTTAAGGCGCGGCGCGGCGGCGCGGCGCTCGTGTGTGGAACAACAGAGTTCCGCTTTTCGGGCGCTGAGCGGCCTGCGCGGCCCGCGAGCTGCGTGTCGGATTACAGACTCGTGACGGCGTAAGCGCTCGCCGACAACGGCCAGCTCAGCGGCCATGGTCCAGTGTAGCAGCAGGCGTCCGCTCCGATGCACTGCTGCCAACTTGTGAATGCCAAAACGACGTGGAGTTGTCGGAGTTTGCCCCGGCCGGCCTGGCCGGGTCAAACCGCCAAACCGGCCGCCGCCGGAAAGGGGACATCCCGGAAGGGGCCGCGGTCGCAGTCGGACCTCGACGGGCCCTGGGGGCCGTAGAGCGCGCCGCCGCTGGCCCGCGGGTTCGATTCCCGCCGCAAATTGTTTTATTTTTTTCTGCCGGGAAAGTTGGGCGCAGTGCATCCGGCCGGGTCGCCGCCGCGTCGCTGCGTGCGAGTTGGAGCCCCCGTGCGGCCGAGCCCCGCCGAGCCCCGCCGAGCCCCCGAGGCGCGTTGTTCGCGTTCACGGGGCCAAGCAACTAGTAAGGTCCTGCTGGTGACGATGTCTTTGTTGTCGCCGACACGCCGCGACTTTAGCGTGACATTGGCGGAGAGTGTGTGCAGAGCTCCGTCAGCGACCCTTCGACACCGTGACCCTGATCAAGTTAAATTGATACCTGCTTGGACAGGAATCAACTAAGCTCACTAAGGCTTGACCAAAGCTCGAACAACTGGCATTCACGAAAAAATCTCATTCAACGAACGTTAATGAAAGCAGATGATCCATCGCGTTTCACAACTGCTGTGATAGCCGAGAGGTTAGAGACGTGGGATCGAGTTACCGCAGGCCGGCGTTCGAATACCAGCGTCACAAAAGTTTTTTCGACTTGCTATCCTAAGGGTGGTGGTTCGAGGCCATGAGAGCGGAGCCGTGTGCAACAGGCCCAAATGCCGAAGGTTCGACTCCTAACAAATATTTCCATTTAATTTTACTGCCTCACCCAGTGCGGTTCAAACCCGTGAACGTGAGCCCACTCCGTGCATGGGACGTGGTGGTCCAGGGAGTAGAGGCGTCGGTTCCCAATGCTAGGGTCGGCGGTTCGACTCCCCCAACTTCTTGCGAAATTTTGACCGGGTCGGTCGAGTCCTGTTGCGTCAAGAACCCACCTCACGCCGGTCCCCTCACCATGGGCCGTGGTGGCCGAGAGCCTAAAGTCGTGTGATCCCGGTGGCGGGGTCCGGGGATCGAATCCCATCATTTCATTACATTTTTCGACCGCCCTCCTCCCAGTGCAACTCAAACCCGTCGTCCAACACGCTGCCAGACGTACAAGCGTGATAGCGTAGTGGTCAGAGTCACATTCACCTGGCCACTCCGCTGTGGGTGTCTAAAAAGCAATCCGCTTCGGCGGGTTGGCCTCGGCACTGGAGCGATGGCGTATTTGATCCATCAATCCAGACCACCCGGTGTGTGGTTGCGGGTGGTGCCTCCTCGATCCGTCGGGGAGGCGATGATAAGTCCTTTGAAGCTGGCCTAAAACGCTGTATGTTCGGTACGGGAGCGCCGGACAGTGGGGGTACCATGGGGTACACAACCAACCCTACGAAAACAAGAAGCTCCCACCAAACCTCTTCTCTGTCTGAGTCTCTCTCTGTCTCTCTGTCGTCTCACTCTACGTCCCGCCCCTCAAAAA